CCTACCTACCTACCTACCTACCTACCTACCTACCTACCTACCTACCTACCTACCTACCTACCTACCTACCCAGCCACTCATCCCCCTCCCGCCCTCTCTCCATCCACCCACTTCCATATTTAATTGTTGAATGTGATGGCTGGAATATGATAGGAGTTATGGTTCAGTGACTTATGGGTTACCACAATTCATCGTCCTTCTATAAATAATTTTTATTTCACAACATGTGGAAGATCATTGCCTTCTCACTCTCAACCCCCCCCCCCAAAAAATTACCTTATTTTAATAGAACTGTTAATTCAGATCAGGGCAGAATGCATGAATGTAGGATTGATGTCAACCAATGTAACTAGTTTCTTTTCCTGTCTCAATCTAATTATAAAAGAGTAGATTTATAATTTAACTGAACTGTATTATTCTCATTAAAATACTTTTGAATTTTACAAAAAAGGATATTTCATGACTAGGGCATGGTTATAGTGCTGAACAAGAAAAAGTGTTAACTAAAAATGAAATATAGCACCAAGACATCTTCTTACTGATAAATCATATACCCAGGAGCAACTATTTCAAATATAAGAAAGAGAACTGCATACTCAACACTTCAATAATTTTATCTGTTAGCCGCTTCAACATATCAGTATTGAGGGAATAAAAAAGATGGCACCTAATCTAATTTAGGATAAATTGAATAGCCAACTCTTCAAAGTCATTGATACATGCTTTGTAGCTGCAAATTATATTACGACTGTGTTTTGGATACATCAGGCAAGGTGCTTCTGGGTTGAAAAGATTAGTCGGTGACCTCACCTTTGTCCAGGGGATACCTGAGGGGGCTCCTTTCATGCCTCTGGTATTTTCCCACTGAAGTGGTACCTATTTATCTACTTGCATTTGCACACTTTCAAAGCTACTAGGTTGGCAGGATCTGGGACAAATTGATGGGAGTTCATTCCGTCGCACATCTTGTTCTTGGGTTTTGAACTGCAGAGCAATTGACCTCTCAATGGTCTTCTATCTCAGCATTCTAACCCTGAACCATTTTTAAAGATTATAATAAAAACATTATGGCACTTTTGCCACTGTATTTATGCATATTCTAAAAATAATGAATAACTATTGAGTATTGTTTAGTATTGGAGCCTTTGTCAGTGCTTAGCTAAGCTTCATCAATGACTCCATTAATGGGGTTTGTGAAAGAAACAATGCCACAACTTAGTACTAAATGTGTCTAGCAGAACCTGCTGGTTGCCCAACAGGGTT